CTGGGGGTTACTGGAGACACTGGGACTGAGGGTATGGGAACATAATAGGGACACTGGGACTGAGGGTATGGGAACATAATAGGGACACTGGGACTGGGAGTATGTGAACATAGCAGGGATACTGGGGGGAATGGGGGTAGTGGGGACACTGGGGAGATACTGAGGACATTGCACTGGGCGTATGGGAACATAATGGGGATACTGGGGACACTGGGACTGGGGGTATGAGAACACAGGGATACTGCAGGGAATGAGGGATACTGGGAGGATACTGGAGACATTGGGCCTGGGGGTATGGGAACATAATAAGGACACTGGGACTGGGGGATATGGGAACATAGTGGGGATACTGGGGGCAATGTGGACACTGAAGTTAGGGGGGGACATAACGGGGACACTGCGACTGAGGATACTGGCAGCGCTGGTGGAGGCAGCACGACAGGCCTGGACCCCATTAACTGATCACCTGCCCCTTTTATTCCTCCAGGACACTCATCCAGCCGGGGGAGGGGGTGCCAGGGCCGCACCTCAGTGTCCCCCCTCCCCGCCCCCATCAGACCACGCCGGCCTCCCGCAGGGGCTCCCCGTCCTCCAGCCGGGCCCAGCCCAGGCGCCGCAGGTCCAGGCTCTCGAAGCGGCCCTGGATCACCAGCTCGGCCACGGCCCTGCCGGCGGCGGGAGAGTGCTGGAGGCCGTGCCCGCTGAAGCCCGCGGCCAGGAACATGTTCTCCAGCCGGGGGTGCGGGCCCAGCACCCCGTTATGGTCGAAGGTGTTGTAGTCGTAGTAGCCGGCCCAGGACCCCCGCACCCGCAGGGACTCGAAGGACGGCACCCTCCGGGCCAGCCGGGGCCACAGCTGCTCCTGGAAGTAGTCGTGGTCCACCGAGAGGTCGCTGGGATCCGGCTCTTCCTCCTGGGAAACATGGATTGGGGCGGCTTTAATTATAGATACCTGCAGGAGTCAGGTTTCAGGAAGGGGTGTTTTTATTATTTCCCTATTTAAATCATGTAGTTTGGTTTTTTGCAGTGGTTATTGGTTGTATGTTTTTCAATCTGTCATTTCTGGTAATCATGTCTGGCAACTGTACCTGTTTTGAAAATCTGAAAAGTAATCAACATGAAGAATGGAAAGCTCAACAAACCCAGATCATGTCTTACCTGCTGTCTTCCCCCTCCCTTTTTTTTTTGTTATAGAAAACCAAAAGTTACACCCTTTCCTGAAACCCGACTCCTACAGATACCCTTGGAGGAAGATATATAGCCAGGAGGATGGAGCTTAGTTCCTGCCCAAGGAGAAGCACCTTCCTCAAAGATAGTTGGATGGTTTTTTTTAACTCCTGCGTTCCAGAGGAAGCTTCCAGGCTCTCTCCCTCTGGTTTGAGCAGAAATAAACCCTCACAGATGTTCATCATCAGGCAGCGATGACAAAAGCCAAGGAAGACCAAAGGGGCATGTTTTTCTCAGGCACTGTTAGGAATATTCCCTTGTAAGCCCAGGGAATAAACGTTCCTGGAATCCTTCCACTGCCTGGCATTTTGGGGGTACCTTCATCACAGGGTTTGATAAAGAACAGGGGGTGAGTGACCTGGGGGACCCCTCTGGGCTCACCTCGGGGGGGCTCATCCCGCCCAGGTAGTTCCCAGCGATCCCTTCCCGGCGGAAATAAGCACCCGAGGTGTCCACGAGGAAGGGGCAGGAGAGCCCAGGGCCATCCGGGCAGTGCCAGCAGAACACGTACCTGGGGAACCCCCCAAAAAATAGGGTGAGGGGTGCTGCCCCTGCCCCCTTCTTAGGGGCTGGGATGTGGGGACGCCCCAAAAAATAACATTGAGGGGTCACGTTGCTCCTGGAGACAATGGAGGGGCTGGGACTGGGGGCACTGGGGGATAATGGGGACACTGGGACTGGGGGCACTGGGGGATAATGGGGACACTGGTAGTGGGGGGATAATGGGGACACTGGGAGCACTGGGGGATAATGGGGACACTGGGAATGGGGGCACTGGGGGGATAATGGAGGCACTGGGACTGGGGGCAGTGGAGGGATAATGGGAGCATGGAGGGATACTGAGAGGATAATGGGAGTACTGGGGGGATAATGGGACTTGGGGCACTGAAGGGATAATGGGGACACTGGGACTGGGGGCACTGAAGGGATAATTGGGGTACTGGTAACAGGGGGATAATGGGGACACTGGGAGAACTGGGGGATAATGGGGACACTGGGGCTAGGGGCACTGGAGGGATAATGGAGGCACTGGGACTGGGGGCAGTGGAGGGATAATGAGGGGATACTGAGAGGATACTGGGAGTACTGGGGGGATACTGGGGACACTGAGACTGTGGGCACTGGAATGTAATAAGGGCACTGGGGGGGATACTGGGCCTGGGAACACTGAGGGAGTAATGGGAGCACTGGGGGCATACTGGTGGCACTGAGGATACTGGGGGGATCCTGGGGATACTGAGGCTGGGGTCAGTGTTGGGGGGCGACAGGTGACACTGGGGAGATAATGGGGACACTGGGACTGGGAGTATGAGAATATAATGGGGGTACTGGGGCTGGGGGCACCGGAGGGACAATGGGAGCCCCAAGATGCAACACCACCTTTCCAAAAAAAAAAGACTAAGGGAGTTCACGCTCCCTCCCTGAGGTTGGAGAATGGTGGGATGCCAGCCCCCCACCTCAAAAATAAAGCACCAAGGGGGTCCATCCCTCCACCCCCTTGAAGATGGAGGGGTGCTGGGTGCCAGGATGACCCCCTTGCCCCCCCCAAAAAACCCCCTGAGGAGTCCCCTCCATGACAGAGGGGTGGTGGGTGCTGAGGTGCCCCCACAAAATAGCACCAAGAGGTTCACTCCCCCTGGAAAAAGGAGAGGTGCTGGGATGTGTCCCCACTCTGACCCATCACAGAGGGTGCACTGCCAGGCTGTGCCCCCCCCCTGAGCCCCCCAGATACCTCTTCCTGGGCTGGATGGGCAGGGGGGGCTGGCACAGCTTCCTGGGGAGCCCATCAGCCTCCAGCAGCTTCCCGGCCCAGGCGCCTGCAGCGTTGACCACGATGGAGCAGGCGACAGGCTGGTACTCCAGGCTGTCTGGCATGTAGATCTGTGAGGAGTGGGCACAGACTTGGAGTGTTTTGTTCCAGGATCACATGCAGGGCCAAGAGCAGAACAACTTTTGTAGCAGTTTGGGCCTGAGGTCTTTGTCCAGGTGGTCAAGGTCCACTTTCTGGGTCTCCTGTCGCAGGAATTCCCAGGGATAACTGAAATACTTGTGAAGAGTCATGGATCATCGGCCCTCCAGCCACCTGATACAGCACAGGCCTGCTTTGGACATAGTTCCTGCCACTGCAGGAATTTTGTGAGCTTTCTTCTCATTTCATAAACCTACGTATACCACACACAACCAGGTAACATTTCAGCTGCCTCAACATTTCTCAGAAAAGGCTGGGAGTGAGGGCAGACATCCCAGCAGTGACTGCCACCCCGAATAACCCCTCCAAACAGCACACGTGATCTTCCTGGGCAGCTGCCATGACTTGGGCAGCCCAAATAATGCCCCCAGAGCAGCCTGTGCACAGAATCAAGATCCACTCTTTGCTTCATGCAAGGCCTTTCTGGCTGGTTTCAGTCCTTCATTCACAGTAAGGGGGTCTTTAACTCTGGAAATTTCGGGGGGGTCCTTGTGAATTAGAAAGACAATGTGCTCAACCTGTACAGATTCCACATGGAGATGGGGCAGGGGGGTTGTCATGGACACTCCTGGAGGACCCACGAGTTTTGGGGGGGTCACACACACACACAGACACACAGACAGACAGATCCAGACACACACACACACACAGACACTCACGTGCACGTATTTAATGCGCGCAGACTCTGCTGCCGACGACGGGGTTGGGTCATCGGCTGTGGTGACAAAAGCTGGAGGGTTTTGGGTTAAGGTGGGGGTTCCTGGGGGTGGTGGTCCCCGGTGGAGGCCCCAGTGGGGTCCAGGGCCCACCCCCGCCGTTCCTCACCTCGCACCTCCCCGCGGCAGTTGTGGACCCCCAGGGACGTGGCTTTGCGCCGGAAAGCGTTGAGGAGGGTCCAGGGGTCGAACCAGCCTTCATCCTCCAGGCCTGGGGGGGACATAGGTAGAGGGGGATGGCATTGTGGTGTGACATCCCCCCCCCCCAAAAATGTGGTTTGGGGCGGGCTGGACCTCCCCTTCCATAAATAAAGCCAGGAATGCAGGAAGCATCCAGCAGGGTGGGGATACAGGGTGGTTATGGGGTTAAGGATGGGTGTTAAGGGGGGGGGTCCCCACACTCAACTCCACATACCATAGGATGCCACAGCCACGTCCTCCGTGTTTATCCAGGGGAATTTCTCCTTCAGCTGGGTGGGGGACAGCAGGGCTACCTGCGCCCCTTCATCCCTGGGAACAGCCAGCAGGTGGAGGGGGGCTCAGGATGACCCCTACCTTCCCCAGAATTCCCCCTGTGGGGGGGGCCTGTGTGTGTCCCCCACCTCTGGAGCTGGACAGTGGCCTCCAGCTTGGCAGCATCCTCTGGGGAGGCCAGGAACAGGTATCCCGAGGGCTGGAACTGGATGTCGATGGGGGGCTCGTTGGGAACCCCGAGGTGCTCCTGTGAGGAGAGGAGGGGACCCCGGTGAGCAGGGCTGGACCCCCAAACCACCCCCCACCCCCGCTCACACAACCAGCCCCACACACATTGATGTCACGCAGGAAGCTGGCGGAGAACCGGGACATCTGGATGTTCTCCGGGAGGGAAAACTGCTGCCGGATCCCCCCCACCGACAGCACTGTGGAGGCTCTGGAATACTGACAGGGAGGACCCCCCTCCAACAATTAACAGGGGCTCGGGGGGGGTCACACCCTGCCCCGGGAGGGGGTGTCTCACCGTGGGGTCCCGCTCCACCACCAGCACCTTCATCCCGTGCCGCCGGAACCGGCCCTCCAGCACCTTCAGCCAGTAGGCCACGGACCAGCCCACCACGCCGCCCCCCACCACCACCACATCGGCCTCGTCGGGGGGCCGGGGGTCGGGGTGGATCCCCGGGGGCAGCCAGCCCCCCCAGGCGCTCCCCGCCGCCGGCACCTGATCCCTCAGGGTCTGCCCCATGCGCCCCAGGGTCTGCCCCAGCTCTGCTGAGACATGGGGGGGCTGACAGGCCTGGGGGGTACCGCTGGCAGCCCCCCCGGGCACCCCAGGACCCTCTGCATCCCCTGGGACCACCCCAATTCCCTCTGCATCCCCTGGGACCACCTCAGTTCCCTCTCAGAGCTGCCAGTACCCTCTGCATCCCATGGCATCACCCCAATTCCCTCTGCATCCCAGGGGACCACCCCAGTACCATCTGGGACCAACCCAGTACCCTCTGCATCCCACGGGACCACCATAGTTCCCTCTGCATCCCATGGGACCACTTCAGTTCCCTTTCAGAGCCCCCAGTATCCTCTCCACACCCTGAGACCACCCCAGTTCCCTCTGGGACCACCCCAGTTCCCTTTGCATCCCCTGGACCCCCCTATTGCCTGGGACCCCCCCATTCCCTGCATTCCTTTGACCTCTTCCCCATTCCCAGAGATCCCACACCCCAACCCTGCCTCCATTCCCTCCAGGATCCCACCATATACCCTTGTATACCCGACATACCCCAGCGATCCCCCAATCCCAGTGACCTCCCCATTCCCTGGGACCCTCCATCTGTTTGATCCTCCCCCCACCCCATTCCCAGGGATGCCAACACACCCTGATCCACCTGCCATTCCCTCCAGGATCCCCCATATACCCCCATAAACCCTCCATTCCCCCCGGGAACTGCCCCCTCCCCATATACCCTCATAACCACCCCAGCGAACCCCCCATTCCCAGTGATCTCCTATTCCCTGGGACCCCCACATTCCCTGGAACTCCGCATTCCTTTGATCCCCTCCCCATTCTCACCCCGACCTCCCCTCCATTCCCCAAGGGAGCCCCCCATAACCATCCCAGCGACCCCCCTATTTCCAGTGACCCTCAATTCCCAGAAAACCCCCCCGTTCCCAGCAAGCCCCCCATTCCCTGGGACTCCCTATCCCTTTGACGCCCTCCCCATTCCCAGCGATCCCAACACACCCCGAACCCCCCTCCATTCCCCCAGGACCACCCCACATATCCCCATA